TTCTTTGTGTCTTCTTCTATTTCTTTTAACAGTGTTTTATAGTTTTCTTTGTATAGGTCCTTTACCTCTTTTGTTAGATTTATTCCCAAATATTTGATTTTTTTTGTTTCAATAATAAAAGGGGTGGTTTTTTTGATTTCTTCTTCTTCAGATATATTGTTTGTGTATAGGAAGGCTACTGACTTTTGCGTGTTGATTTTGTATCCTGCCACTTTACTGAATTGATTGATGAGTTGAATTAGTTTTTCTGTGGAGATTTTGGGGTTCTCTATGTATATTATCATATCATCTGCAAATAGTGATAGTTTGACTTCTTCTTTTCCTATTTGGATTCCTTGGATGTCTTTCTCTTGTCTTATTGCTCTGGCTAGGACTTCCAGTATTATATTGAAAAGCAGTGGTGAGAGTGGACATCCTTGTCTTGTTCCAGATCTTAATGGAATTGCTTTCAGCTTTTCACCATTGAGAATGATACTGGCTGTTGGCTTGTCATAGATGGCCTTTATGATGTTGAGGTATGTTCCTTGTATCCCAAGAATTTCAAGGGCTTTTATCATGAATGGGTGTTGCACTTTGTCGAAAGCTTTCTCAGCATCTATTGATATTATCATATGGTTTTTATATTTCTTTTTGTTGATGTGTTGAATAACGTTGATTGATTTTCGGATGTTAAACCATCCTTGTGCCCCTGGAATGAATCCAACTTGGTCGTGGTGAATTATCTTATGGATACATTGTTGGATTCTGATAGCTAAAATTTTATTGAGGATTTTTGCATCAGTGTTCATTAGGGAGATTGGCCTATAGTTTTCCTTTTTTGTGTTGTCCTTATTCGGTTTTGGTATTAGTGTAATATTGGCTTCATAGAACGTGTTTGGTATTGTCCCTTCCTTCTCAATTTTTTGGAAGAGTTTGTGAAGGATAGGCACTAATTCGTCTCTGAATGTTTGGTAGAATTCATTTGTAAATCCATCAGGTCCTGGGCTTTTGTTTTTGGGGAGGTTTTTAATTACCATTTCAATTTCGCTGCTTGTAATTGGTCTGTTTAGGTGTTCTATTTCTTCTTTATCTAGCTTTGGGTGATTGTAGAGTTGTAGGAATTTGTCCATCTCCTCTAGATTGTTGAACTTGTTTCCATATAACTGTTCATAGTAGTTACTGATTATTCTTTTGATTTCTGCTGTGTCCGTTGTGATTTCTCCTCTTTCATTTATGATTCTGTGTATTTGTGCTTTCTCCCTTTTTTCCTTTGTGAGCCTGGCTAGGGGTTTGTCTATTTTATTTATTTTTTCAAAGAACCAGCTCTTGGTTTCATTGATCTTTTGGATTGTTTTTTTAGTTTCAATTTCATTTATTTCTGCTTTGGTTTTTATTATTTCTTTTCTTCTACTGGTTCTGGGGTTTTTTTGTTGTTCTTTTTCTAGATCTTTGAGCTTCGAGATTAGGTTGTTTCTTTGAGTTCTTTCTTGTTTCTTGATGTGAGCTTCTATTGCTATATATTTTCCTCTTATTACTGCTTTTGCTGCATCCCATACATTTAGGATATTGGTGTCCTCCTTGTCATTCAATTCAAAGAATTTTTTAATTTCTTCTTTGATCTCCTCGTTAGTCCAGTGGTCTTCCAGTAGTGTGGCTTTTAATCTCCATGAGGTAGGATAGTTCCTTGCCTTCTTTTTATGATTTATTTCTAGTTTGATGCCTTCGTGGTCAGAAAAGATGGTTGGTATGATTTCAATCTTGGTGTATCTGTTGATGTTTGTCTTGTGCCCCAGTATGTGATCGATCCTGGAGAATGATCCGTGTGCGCTTGAGAAAAATGTGTACTCCGTTTTTTTTGGTTTAGTGTTCTATAGATGTCTGTTAAGCCCAAATGCTCTAGGTCCTTATTTAGAGCTTTAGTTTCTTTACTTATTTTTTGTCTTGTTGATCTATCCATTGTTGATAGTGGTGTGTTGAAGTCTCCCACTACATATGTGTTTTCTCTGATGTCTGTTTTCAGAGAGGACAACAGTTGTCTGATATATTTTGGTGCTCTTTCGTTTGGTGAGTATATGTTAATGAGTGTTATTTCTTCTTGAAGTATTGTCCCCTTAATCATAATGTAGTGACCATTGGGGTCTCTTTTTATTTTTTTGAGTTTGAAGTCTGTTTTATCTGATATAAGTATAGCTGTTCCTGCTTTCTTTTTTGGCCCATTTGCTTGTAGGATTGTTTTCCATCCTTTGACTTTGAGCCTATTTTTATCTTTTGTAGCTAAATGTGTTTCCTGGAGACAGCAAAAGGTTGGGTTTTGTTTCGTAATCCAGGCTGCAACTCTGTGTCTTTTTATTGAAGAGTTTAGTCCATTTACATTTAGAGTTAATATTGATATGTTAGCATCTGTATTTGCCATTATGTTTGTCTTTCCTTTGATTTTATTTATTTATTCTTTTAATAACTTTTTTTTTTTTTGGTCTTCTTTCGTTGTTATTCGTCCCTCTGAGGTTCTGGCTTTAGGATTCCTTGTAGTATTTTTTGGAGTGGGGGTTTAGTCGCAATGAAATTCCGGAGTTTCTCTTTGTCTGGGAAGGTCCATATTCTTTCTTCATGGAGGAAAGAGAGCTTTGCGGGATAGAGTATTCTTGGTTGGCATCTGTTTTCTTGGAGTCTGTTGACTATGTCCCTCCACTCTCTCCTTGCCCGTAGTGTTTCTTCAGAGAAGTCTGATGTCAGCCTGATTGGTTTTCCTTTGAATGTTATCTGTTTCTTCCCTCTTGTCAGCTTCATTATTTTTTCCTTGTCCTGGATTCTTGGGAGCTTTACTATTATGTGTCTTGCTGTGTTTTTCCTTTCGTCGTGGAAGTTTGGTGTTCTTCTTGCTTCTTGTATATCAATTTTCAGCTCCTTCTTCTCATTTGGGAAGTTCTCTTCAATTATATCCATGAATATTTTCTCTGTTCCTACATCTCTCTCCTCTCCTTCTGGAATTCCTATAACTCTTATATTTCCTTTCCTCATGGAGTCAGATAGTTCCCGAAGTCTTTCTTCATTCTTTTTCCTTCGTACTTCTCTTTCCTTTTCTGTTTTGGTTCTTTTTATTTCTGTGTCTTCAAGATTACTTATTCGTTCTTCCATTTCATCTATTCTGCTTTCATTGCTTTTCCCAGAGTTCTTTAGTTCCTCCATTAATTCTTTGATCTCCTGCATTTCTCTTACTTCCCTCCTTAGGGACTCAATTTCCTTCTTCTGATCTATCACTTTTTTAATCATGGCAATTTTAAATTCTCTTTCTGGAAGGCTCAGAAGTTCTTCCAAGTTGCTGTCGTTGCAATCTGGGGAGTGGTTTTCTTTTTGTGGTGTGCTTCTTTCCTGAGGAGTTTTTAGGTTGCGTGTGGTTCTTCTACTCCCTACTGTCTGTTTTCTAATTTGTCGTATGCGTTGGGACACTGTGTTGCTCGGACTGACTGACATCTTGGGTGAACTTCTCCGCTCCCCTCTGGCTCTTCCAGGAGCCATCTCTGTCTTCTGGGGGAGCTTTCTGCTGGTTTTAGGCAGTTTTTACTGAAGAAATGTCCCTGTTCTCAAATGGTGAAGCGGGATGCAGTCCCTGCGCCTCCGGTTTCAGGCACACTCTTCTGCGCACCCGGTCTGCCCCGGACGTGGGTGCCTGCTCCCTCTGTGGGCTCAGACTGCTGGTCGGAAGGGGCCTGGCGTGGAATAACTTCCCGGCTGGCCACTGGGTCCTCCAGGAACCTTCTGCCCTTTTCAAGCAGTCTTAAGAAATGTCCTGTTTTATAGGGTGTTAGTGACTTTTTTTTTCCTGGTCGCTAGGTAGCGCCAGAGATCTCTCCTATTGTCCTTGGGGGGCTGTTTTTCGCCTCCCCTCACCCCGTGGGACAGAGAACAGAGCGGGAATGGTAGGGTACACCTCAACAGCTTTGGGGTGCTGTGTCTGCCTTGTGCCCCACCGTCGTGGGGAACCCACGCCCCGAATTTTCGTGCCCCGGGTCTCAGTTCAAAGCACTCAGTTCCAGGACGCGGGCTGTAGCCCAGTTCAGTGGCGCGGGAATGGCGCCTTTTGCACAGCTCCCGTGCCTGGGCGCCTGGTTCCTGCTCACTCAGGGAGGGACCTTCACCTCAGTGAGGACCTCCGTGCGTCTCCCCGCAAGCCTAGGTCGCAGGCGCTGGGACCTGGGCAGCCGCGATCCAGGTCTGCACTTGCTTTTCAAGCTCCCCGAGCACGCCGCGTTTCCGCGCCAGCTTACCGGCAGCCCGGGCTGTGTGCACGTCTCCCGGGGTCTTTGTTCTTCTCTAATGGCGCCCGGAGCCGTTTGCTCACAGCCGCGGCGGATCCTGCAGGGTTCGCCTCAGCTCCAGTTCAAGGGGTGTGATGGCTGCAATAGTTCCTTTCCACTCCCAGTCCCGCTTGCTGCGTCGTTTGTTCTTGTGGGCCGTTTTGGTTTGTTGTTTCCTCCTCTCTGCCGGTAGGAGAGTGCCGCCTCTGTGGGCGGGGGAGGGGAGCAGGGTTCTGCGCTTCCCTCCCTTCTAGTCCTCTTTTATGGCCACTTTCTTCTTCGGGCAGTTCGCTGGCGTCACCCGTTTATCTTCCGTGTCCCACTTCTCACTGGGACCTGCTGCTTTTCCTCCCTATTAACTTTTTTTAATGGGAGATCTTACTCGCAGCGTCTCCTGCACGCCATGTTGCTCCGCCCCCCACATCTTTTGATTTCTGAGAAAATACTACTCTTAGAAAATTCCTTCAGTGTTTGTATACTTCCACTCTGTAGTTTAAGTTGTCTTTTCTAATCTAGCTTTTCTTCAATTTTCCTCTAAAACCTTAAGTTCATAGGTAAAAATACTCACTTTGAGCAGTAAAATGTTCACACTTTAGTGTGAATATGTAGCATATTTAGCAATTTACCCTAAAGACAATTTGTTTGGAGCATCTTACCATGAATATAGCTACACAGCTATTTATTTGTAATCTAAATTATGCTATCTATAATTTGCTTAACTTCTAGGGGTCAACTGCACGAATGGATCATGAAACTGCCAGTGTTTTGAGTTCTAGTAGCACACACTCTGCTCCTCGAAGGCTGACAAGTCACCTGGGAACCAAGGTAACAGAGAATTATAAACACTAGTCACTAGTGGTATTAATACTTTGCTAAAATATCCTTCATTCATCTTTTAAATTCAGCTACAGAATTCTAATCCCATCATCACACTCTCGTAAATAAATAACATGTTTTTTATATAAAGAAGCATAGACAAAGGGAAAATAAGGATTTTGAAAAGTACCCAATTAGCTAGTCTTTGATTCTTTTTCAACCTTGTAATCTTAAGTGCTGACCACACTTGCTGCTTCCCAAGCAAGTCTTGTGACTTTCTGCCTCCATGCCTTGCCTGTCATAGCACGCTTGACTTTCTGCGCCAGTGCAAATTGTCAGAAGCCCAGCCAAACTTCACAACTCTTTGCTGTCTTTATTTCTTCAGAAAGTATTTTCTAATGTCCAAGACTCTCACCTCCCAATGCAACTTCTGTATTTCCTTTAAGTCACTCCTGTCTACTTGAAGCTCTTGGAGTTTTTAGAATTGGGCTATTTTTTTATGTATTTTTTGCAGTGGATAAAATATTATTGAATGTTATCAGATGTTATCAGATATTTTAGGGCCTGAGATAATACGTTTTCAAAAACAGGATGATTATTTTACTGTTGTTTTAAAGACAAAGGCTTTATTATTGGCAGAGATGAAATTTTAATATTACTAAACAATATTTTCCGTGTAAATATTTCCATAACTGTTTTCATAACATATTCTGTATACTCTAATGATTCTTAGAAAAAGCACCACTAAAATACTGTTGATTCAAGAAATTAATTTTAGAGTAATCTGTGATATTGTTAATATGAGACTTAATCCTTTTCATGACTCACAATAATAGCTACTACTGAGGACCTCTGGTGTGCCAGTAACTGTGCTAGTTGTTTGTACATTATTTGGTCTCCTCAAAAAATCCTATGGCATGTTCTTATTGCTTTTTCTTAAAATAAGAAATTGAAGCAAAAAAAGGTTTACGCAGTGTAAGTAAATTGGAATTTGCCTCCAAGTTTTTCCAACATCAGTACATATTTTTATTCTAAAGTAAGTCTCTAATAGTTAACAGTAGTGCTCTGTAAAAACTGGCAGCTAAACTACTGTTTCCTTTTGAAGTACATGATAATATTAAAATCTCACTACATTCTGAATGCCAGATACGGTTCTTTACATGTATAATTTCATTGAATTTTCACAGAGAAAACCCTACTAGATAAATTCCTCCATTTTGTAACTGAGGAAGCTGGGGCTCAACTTGGCAGTGTCACACAGTTGGCTTTTAAGTAGGAAACCAGAATTTGAAAGCCCATGTATCCATAATTCTGAACTGCTAGCTGAAACTTTTTATCTAAGAGTATGTGTTTATTTACACATTTAGAGTATGGTTTCTTAACCTCAACATTATTAACTGAAGAGCAGTTCTTTTTTTATATTGTAGGATGTTTAGCAGTATCCCAAGTGTTTACATAATAGATTCTAGTAACACTTCCTCCCAACTGTATGTTGGGAGAGGGGTGGTGTAAAGATTGCCAGATTAAGAAGCACTGATTTATAGAGATGATAGCTTTGAAATGAAATATCACAGTTCTGCATAACTAGATACTGTTTCCTGGTCTAATCTGTTTCTAAGTAAATCCTTAGAATTTATTGTCAGAGAGTAACTGATGCTACCAGTTGCCTTAAAAAAAAAACAAAACTGAGTAAGAATGCTGATTTTTTTACTCCCTATTTTTATGACAAAATATGAGAGAAAGAGAAATCACATAATTTTAATAATATACTTATAATCTGATGAGGGTCGGTGATTGCTGAAAACTTAGTACTCATATAATAATAATTGCTGAAAAGGTTTTCTATTTCTTGACTATAGTTAATACATTATAAAAGTAAAATAAAATTTTAATTTTGTAAATAATTAAAATAAATATCATTTCCTAAGTGTGTGTGTGTGTGTGTGCACGCGCGCACAGTTGATTGTCATTCATTACAATCAGTGGGTTATTACCAGCTTTTCCAAAGAACAATTTAAGTATTGCAAAAATCTTTCTCTTTCAGCACTGCTCATTAACACTGCTATTCTTTATTCATGTATATAAATTGGTGATGATCATATGGGTTTTTAAATAATGCTCATTTTTTCATCCCAGAAAGGGGTTTTTGTTCTTTTTTTTCTTTTTCTTTTAATAAGTTACAATAAATATCCCATTCATCACTTCATTGGTGTTGGCTTTTGGATATTAAAGTCATAATTTTGTTTCTAAACTCATTTGGCCCACAGGTGGAAATGGTGTATTCATTGTTGTCAATGCTTGGTACTCATGATAAGGATGATATGTCGCGAACTTTGCTAGCTATGTCTAGCTCCCAAGACAGCTGTATATCCATGCGACAGTCTGGATGTCTTCCTCTCCTCATCCAGCTTTTACATGGCAATGACAAAGACTCTGTGTTGTTGGGAAATTCCCGGGGCAGTAAAGAGGCTCGGGCCAGGGCCAGTGCAGCACTCCACAACATCATTCACTCACAGCCTGATGACAAGAGAGGCAGGCGTGAAATCCGAGTCCTTCATCTTTTGGAACAGATACGAGCATACTGTGAAACCTGTTGGGAGTGGCAGGAAGCCCATGAACAAGGCATGGACCAGGACAAAAATCCAAGTATGTTCCCTATAGTGTACATCCTAGTGCATGGTACAAAGCAAACGTAAGTTTTTTTTTTAAAAAAAGCTTTTTTTAGTTGGTATGTAATCTTTATGAATAGGGAGAGGACATTTACATTCACCATCTATACTACAAACATAGTTTAAAGCTAAGGTTTATATTTCCCTAGAAAAAATAGCAAAGGAAAATGTTCTGTGCACTGCTATGCCAAAAAAAAGAACAGGAATCAAGAGATACTTAGTCATAGCATAGTAGCTCTAGAAAGATCTTAAGCAACTATGTTGCCTATCTCTGGTTTTATAGATTAAGCTCAAGAAAGGGACTTGATGTAAAATCTTCAGCTATTAGTGACTAAGCTATAATTTTTTATATTTGCATATTGCTCTACTCAGCTGTTAATATGGAGCTATTAAATCTGTTTAATCCTCACAACAACCTTGTGAAGTAGGAAGGGAAGGTATTATCATCTCCATTTTACAGATGAAGAAATTGAGGCTCAGAAAAACTAAAAGACTTGCCTGGAGCCTCAGTTAGTAAGTGGTGGAGCCAGGAAGAGGCCAGATCTTCTGACTCTCAACCAAGTGCTCTTCCTACTACACCATCCTGCTCGAGACTTTGGGCCCCACTGGCTGGGGTTGATCAACCACCCAGCTCTTTGCTCAGGGAGAGACCCCTGAGCACCAACTCCTCTCCCTCATGAGAAGGGAACATGGGAATTGGGCCTCTTGGGGGCATGACTTACTTCATTCGTGTAGCAAGAACCAAAAGCAGTAAGTATATAAGGTAAGGCCTTCCTTTCACCTATAATAACACACACAGACACATATACATACATGTACCCACACACAGGACAAAGGTCTGTTTTATTCAACCTGTTGATTTAAGAGCAGGAGGGATGATGGTGAGAACATTATCTATGAGAAGTCTTAGCAGATTTTTTTTTAAACTTAGGTATAAAGGTGTTTATTTATCTAAAATCAGAAAGCTTTCAAGATAAGAAAAAAGCTATCTGTCCTAGGGATGGGGAAAACTAATAAATGGCGGAACATAATTTTTCTAGATTGTTTTCTTTGACTCTCCACATTATGTGATGACTTAACTATTTTGCCCTTGATACCTGTTCTCAAAAAGTTAAATAGAATAAGTTAATGTAATTACTGCTGAAAAATAGGCTTTTTAAATTTTATTTCAAGTAATGAGCTTTGAAACTTTGTCCATAGTATTAAATATAGAGGTACATTTTCTTGGACTAAGTAATTAGTCATCTGAGTTATAGCATAAACCTTTTAGAAACTTACTCTAACAGACTTGGTCAAGGGCAATAAAAAGTAAACATTTTTCCGCACCAAAAAATGCCCTTTACTCATTTTCTCTTCCATGTTTGTATATTTATTCATCTATTCAGCAAATATTTGTTAATTTGCTAAACTACTATGCATCAGTAAGCACTGTATTTTTAAAGTGTGAGGCACATCATTGCTTTTGAGAAAATAAAGCATTATGGTTTATGTTCATTTTATTTTTCAGTGCCAGCACCTGTTGAACATCAGATCTGCCCTGCTGTGTGTGTTCTCATGAAGCTTTCCTTTGATGAAGAACATAGACATGCAATGAATGAACTTGGTAAGACAAATATTTCTCATTGCCATGGAGGAACACTGAAAATTTTTCACCTTTGGTGAACTGGGATATAAAGCCATGATTTCTATTCCCAGCTGCTTCCTATTCCATGTGGGAAATGTTTATGCTCTGGTTTGCAGAGGAAATAAGGGCCTAAATAACCATAACTGCTACCGTGTGATAAACTAACTTGAATTTTCAAAATCTTAACCAAATACTGGAAAAACTACTTCAAGGGCTGCCACTTCTTGTCCCAATTGCCAAGGTAGACCCTCCATGACACTTGACAAGGAGGATAATTTAAAATATTTTGAAATGTAGAGCTACTTACTGTACTTGAAATCAGTAATTTCTTCTCAAAGCTACTGATTCCTCCAGAAGGAATTATTAATATTTTCATTTATCTTTGTGGTTATCAATGCTTTACTGCATTTTCACGATAAGCAGCGTGTTATCTTTGAAACTGCTTAATATAGAAAAAATTATAGTCTAATTGAAGTTAGAAATAGGCCATTAATTTTGGAAGGATTACTATTTTCAGTATGTGTTATCACATACTCTGAAGCTTATGTAACTTGTATTTGTGGACCCCATTTTTCATGTAATGGTTTTTCTTTGATTTCTAGGTTCATTTTGCTCATATGGTATTTATAAATTGCAGCATCCTGAGCCATCTCATGTGAACTGGATCTCTCTAGTCATGCCACAAGCAAGAACCATACACTGAGTTCCCATCTCAGTGTAGCTGTGCCCTTGCTTTTTGTGCTATTTATGTTACATTACATTCTAGCCCGTGTGTTGCATTCCTAGTGCCCTCATCATTGTCATTCATCATTTATCTTAAAAGTGGCAAACTCATGAAACTCTTACAGAATCTGAACACCAAAAATGAGTGTTGTCTCCTGTAGCACCATCACTTTTGGACACTATGTTACTTTCTGATACCAGCTGCCTTTCTTCCCTAGGGCCCTAGCAATTGTACCACTTACTCTTTCCTCCCATACCCCCCCCCAGCCTCCTATAGAATTGAGTATAATCTTTGGAGTTCTCCCTTCAATGCAATTTTAGCATATGTGGAAATTTTAAGTTTTCTATAAATGCCAGTAAAAACATGGGAACAGGATAAAAATAATGAATAAGCAAGAAAATTATTCCAATTTTAAGCTATTGAAAGGTTTTTCTGTGAATGTCCCTTTGTTCCAATGTACTACAGATTAGGAATGACACATTAATCATCTGAATTTCAAAATAAAACCTAGACTCAGTATTTGTTCCTCTTCCTTCTTCAGGTAGGAAGGCTACCCTGGGCATTTCATCACAGGAGCTAGGGCAGGGGCTTTCAGGTGAGGAGCAGGATGGGGCCTCTGGGGGTGTGACTGCTGGGGACATAGACACAAGGGATTACTTTCTTCTCACCCCTAGCCTCTGAATTTCCACTGGAGCAAAAGAATGATCAAAGTTGATGGATTGTGAGGAGATAGACTAAGATAGCATAAGGAATCTGAGAGTGAGGGATAAAGAGAAAAGTCCCAAGTAGATGACAGGAAGTTCCTAAACCCAGTCAGCTGGACTGCCATTTTTACATACAAGAAGATTCTATGGATATCAGGATCATTTAAGTTTGCACCTGTTAGCATTGTTTTAGACTGTAATATCAATGATAGGTATATTCAGTACTTCCCAGTTCTGTCCCAGAAACTATGCTAAACCCTAGATTCAAAAATGATTGTGACATGGTCCTCATGAACTCCTGGTTTGTTTGCATTAGTGTTTCCCAAACCAGATCTTAATGATCACCGAAGACACTTCTCACACCATGTAGATTCTCTGGCCTTCTAAAAGGCTTTGTAAAACAGACTTTCCAACAGAGAAACCTAGGATTAATTAGTGGCTCCAGTAATTTTTAATGATCAGGAAGATTTATGAAATAGCAACCTGAGGAATATTGATGTTGGGTCCCTATTATTTATCTTAGAATGAAGTATTTTAGGCTAATGGTGACTATACCAAGTAAAAGAAAAATATGCCTTTTAAAATTGTCATCTATTATCTTTTTTGATAAGTGTGAATTAGGATTCTGTTGAATGTCACCTGAAACAGTTAAAGAACTCTACTCTCTGTCAGGATGTAAGCTACCAATATTGGATAGTACTTGATCCATATAGACCACTATTTCCTAATACAGGCACCAACAAAAATGCAAAAGGGCCTGCTTATCATCTTGCATTCATTACCTTAAATATCCTAATTTTTTCATAGGGCAACCTGTTTTTTGTTCTAGCAAACCTGAATTTGTGTCATATTTTTGTGGGTCCGTTTACAGTTTAATATACAAATTCTGTTATTTGCCTTAAAATTCACTGAAATCTTTTCCATTTGTTGAAATCATAAAGACCCCCCTCTTAACCTGATATTCCAAATTTTATTTAATGTTTTTTTCATTAGCCATGTCTTTCATGATTTTGTTGATATTGACTATGTCCTTTAATCTTTATTTTCACAATCAAGTCCTAAAATTTTCAGTTTTTCCATATAACAGTACTCAACTCTTTGATCACTTAGTGCCTTCTTGAGTTGTTCTTGAAATCATTATATCTTTCTCAAGAAAGTATCACAGATACTGCTCTACCAGGCAGGATTTTGCATAGTATATTTTGTTTTGGTATTGATGTGCTTAACATTTCGATGATCTAATCAGTATATAGGGGTACTGTTCAAATCAAGAATGGCTCGCCATGTCAATTTCTTGGCTCAAAACTCAGCTCTTTTACTGAATTTTTCTCCTTTGCTGAAGTGTTAATTGGTGGAATTCCTTGAAGTTTGTCCTAGGTCCTCTTCCTCTCTCTAACCAGTATCCTCCACCTATGACTTCACTTACAGTGTTTTTCAGATTTACATCTCTATCTAACTTCTCACTCCTGAATTTTAGACACATTATCAGACTGCTCATCTGACATCTTCACTTAGATGGTTTTGCAGACATCTCTAACTCAGATAGCACAAACTGAATTTATCTCCTCCAGTCCCATATTTTACTCTTCAGGATTCCTTTTCTCAGAAAATGTCATTCCTGCCAATCTGTTTGCTCAAGCCAGAATATTGTAAACAATCCTTGATTCTGTCCTTACTCCCACATCTAGTAACTGAGTGCTTTAATTCTCCTTCTTAAATATATCGCAAATCACTGCTGTTCTTTTGACATTTCACTTAAAAGTTTCTAAGATGTCATCATCATCTCTCCTATTTTTCAGTACTTTGTCTTCCCACTTCCAATATTTTGCAGCCTTAGCAATTCATTTGGAACACACATCTAATTATTCCATCCCTAAATCCTTAGTGTGGCACATCAATTCTTGTATGATCTGGCCTATTTGTGTAAGTTCGTCGCATGCATCACGTGACCTTGTACTATCTATTTCAAGTCTAGGGACCCTTGCACATGCTATATCATATGCCTAAAATGCTTCTTTATTCTTCCTGTTCCTCCGTTTAGATACTCATTCATCCTTTAACTTAAACATATTTCCTCAGCCTTTTCCTTGATTCCCCAGCTCTTAGTTAAGTCTACTTGCTGTCTTGCCCTGTGCTTCTACAAAGTCTGCCATGATTAAGTTAGTTATTTAATGTTGATCCTTGCTTTAATCTAGAAACTCCATTAAGACAGTGATCATATTTTGTTCACTGGCTATATATTTTTCCACCATCATGGATGCATAGAGGAAAATTTTCTAAATATGGTTTGGGTTTTCCTTAAATTAATTTTCACTTATCTACATTCAAATATATCAGTCATTTTTGCTAGTCATAAAACTTTGTTTCAACTGAAGTTAAATCCCTGGCCTAGAATTCTTGATACAAGATAGAATTTTGTCTGTTTCGCAAACATAGATTTCTCTACACACTGATACTTCTTAATCATTTACAAAAATACTAAATGTAGAGATTCCTTTTCAAATTTATAACCTATTTAATTTACAGTATCCAACAGTTGTTTTTTTATATTCATCCTCCTTTTCTCTGTGTTACCTACTTTGCTGTGATAAAACAGTATGTCCAGTCCCATGATGACTAATGTTGATAAATGAATATTTTTAATAGCCTCTATATGCATTTTTTTGTCCACACCCTTACCATTTCACTTCACCTTTTGGTTTATTTGTTTATTTATGTTGTCGTTATCCTTCCTTTTATGTCTTTCCTTATTTCTCTTCATTTTCTTCCTTGTTTCCTAGTGTTCACCACTGTAGGCTTTGTTAACACTGGATAACCTTTGTTAAGCATATCCAATGGAATCATGAGGAAAGAAAACATTAAATAGTTTGTATTTGACACTAGTGAATATCAACAAAAAGTAATAAATTTTTAGAAACATAAGTAGTTTTACAGAACTTAGTAACAATTTGAACACAACTCTTTTTCATAAAAATGAAAGATTTTCTTCATGACATTTCACTTAGAAGTTTCAGTATTCCTAAGAATAATTAGTTAGGACACAGTGTGTGACAGTGAGGAGTGTAAAGTCCCCATGATAAAAATAAGTTCTCCTTTCCTAAGGAAGGAACTGGAGGGTGGAGATATTAGCAGAAAATTAAATAGTTGTCAGTTCTACTATACAAATATATTACACAAAAGTCCTGTGTAACAGTCTTTGTAGTTTGTAATTCTAAAGACAATTTTAAACACTATGTTGTCATTCTTTGAGATATTTTTCATTAATTTTTAAGTTATAAACTTGGTACCAATTTGTTGTGCTTTAGATTATTATCTTTTTCCTCTTGCCCTTTTCAAATTTAGGGGGACTACAGGCCATTGCAGAATTATTGCAAGTAGACTGTGAAATGTATGGGCTTACTAATGACCACTACAGTATTACATTAAGACGATATGCTGGAATGGCTTTGACAAACTTGACTTTTGGAGATGTAGCCAACAAGGTATGTTTGACAAGGTTCATTTTTTATGAATTATTTTACTTTAATACAAACTACTTTTTACTGATTTTCTTATTATTACTCTTCTTTAAATACTGACTGATAAAAACCTGTACTTTACATCCCACTCCATGTCATTATTCATTTGTTTGTCTCGTGCCTAGTAAACAAAGGCAAAAGATGCAACACGCTGGTGGACTTATGCAGTCACATTTAAAACATTGGTCTTAGGAATGAGAGCAAAAGTATGAAAATTGCACACATATTGGTCCCATCCAAATAAGAGACTAAAAAATCCTTTGTTTCTCATTTCTTATAGTTTATTCACTTCCCCTGCCCCCCAGTTAGCCAAAAGATAACAAAGGATTAGGAAGGTATTTGTCTTTCATTTATTTAATAATCTAGTTCTAGATTTTTTATGGCTAAATACAACCAGTATGATTAAAATGAGTCTATTAAAACTACATTTGAAGTTCGAGTCAAAAATAAAACACAGTTTCATATTGCCTTGTTTTTTGACCTCTGTACATATTTAATTTTACAGGCTACATTATGCTCAATGAAAGGCTGTATGAGAGCACTTGTGGCCCAACTGAAATCTGAAAGTGAGGACCTACAGCAGGTACTGCCTAGAATTTCAGCTGTTTTTCTTAAATATTAGCAGTTAATATTCTGAATAAGATTAATTTAAGCTGTGGTTCAGTACTTAGTTTCTCCTGTTTAAACTACGGTTACATTAACACCAGAATAATAGAAAATATTTAAACTGTAGCAATTCCTTTTGACTCTATATTAGCATTTAGGAAGAATTTCTCTATTAACAGCTTTCTATTCTTATCTCTTTGATTAAAGAGCAACTAGTATAAAACAGTTCATATACAAATTATTCTAAAATTGACTCATTTGCAGGTTATTGCAAGTGTTTTGAGGAATTTGTCTTGGCGAGCAGATGTAAATAGTAAAAAGACACTGCGTGAAGTTGGAAGTGTGAAAGCATTGATGGAATGTGCTTTGGAAGTTAAAAAGGTACCTTTTGAAACATTTAGTACTACCATAGGAGTTTCATCTTTGACTACTTTATTACTAATTTCTGACCTGTTTACCTGTCAGTCCAAGTGTTGTGAGGAAAAGATCAGGGTGAGGCTGGAGGCACAGGGGTGAAAGAATTCATCAGAAATGAAGTCGAGAACAGAACAGGAAGATTTATTGAAATACACTGCTAAGAGAAGTAGTGGGCGAGCTGGGAGAAGTCTGCGCCCCAAGGAGGATTTGAGGCTCTCTTTTATATTCTGTTTTCATTGGCTTTTGCCGGTTTTCTCCTGTTATCTTCTGGGATGTGTGGTCTCCAGCACTGGCCTTTGACATAGAAGCATGTTCTGGCCTCTGCTTCTGCCTTCCTGGAGCTGGGCTAGTTTTTCTGGTCGTGGTGGTCATGTTACAGGGCAGCCCTGATATAAAACGGGTTGCCTGACTGTGGGTCTTCATCCGCGCGCTTAAAAGGGACTTATTAATACTCCACTGCAGGCACACACAAAAGGTTAATAAAAGGTCTATTTACAAGGGAAGGGGAAATGTGGAAATGTACAACTCAGGGAGGAAAAAAGGGAGATAAAGTCTTAAATGCGTCCTACCCGTTATGCCGACCTGGAATCCCAATGGCACTCTGAGAGCTGGCCACGAGCCAAGAGCCATGAAGCCAAGAGAGAGATGGCCAAGACCCACGTGTCTAGTATTATTGTTTAACTCCACCCTCAGGTCCCAGCAACCCTCCCTTTGGTGATGATGGGATTTGTCATTCCCAATGTCTTCATGACTTTGATCTGGAGTGGGGGTGGAGTCCACAAAGCCTGTATGGATTTAGCTCAGGACATCCTTTACCCCTAACAATCAGTTTTATGGCCTTATCCCCAAGGCAGCCTTATCCATTACCTTATGTATTTCAGCCTCCCAAACCTGCCTGCTAGGTCAGGAGTAGGGGCTCAGTTTTTAACCTTATTCAGTTGTACCCCAACATAAAGGAGTAGGGGCAGATTCATGCCTAGTTGAGAATAAATGTTAACCTCTGTGCTCTTCAAATATTGATCCTCCAAAATCTACAAATTTTGATAGTCATCTTATCAAGAGGTGAGGATTGGGTGAAAAATCACCAAAAAATGATAATTTGTTTACAAGAGGTAATTTAATGTCCAGTGGGATATCTACTTAAGAAACTAAGTTTTGTTGTTTTGGTTTTTTGGTTTTTTTTTTTTTCTTTTTTTTCATTAAACTTGAAATTAGAGAGGGCTAAGCAAATCAGCTTACTAAAGTGCCATGTTTGGTTTGTGAGTTTCTACTTACTGCTTTGGAATGAAGAGACATCACCCCAAAATAGAGAAATAAAAAGGATTTATTAACAGAGGGAATAGAGGTAAGCAATGAATTAGTGAGGGAAGAATTCTACAGAGGCAAGACCACCACAGGCAACACCTCAACCCTTTGAGCTAGGTGGGGGTTGAGGGTGGGGAGGGGTGATAGATAAATTGCCTGCAAGGCCTCCCATTTTTTTGGTGTGTTTGTTTGCAAACCTCTCTACTTCCTTATAATCCTCCCACCCCACCCCACCCCGCCCCCCCACACATAGAAAATCCTGCCATTCTTGCTGGGAGTTGTCCTTCAAGCCAGCAGGTTGTAAGTGGGTGGGTTGGAGAGGGAGGGTAGGGTGGTGGGAAATGGTACCAGCTCACAGGGGCGCCTTACCCCCTGCCAGGGATGCATTCCTGTACAGTTTTAACTAACCCAGGCCTCTTTTCACCCAACCAGTCTCTATAAATTTGCTTACACTTTTTAAATTTTTCCTTCAAAATGTCCTTTTGAAAGACAGCAAAAAGTTTTGGCTTTTAATTATTTATGTATTTTTGATGAATTTTGCCATTGCATCTCTGGAAACCCTGATACCGGAATTGTAGGTTTTCAGGCTTAGTCTCCCAGCCAGGAATGATCCCAGACTGCAGGGGCCAGCGCTGAGCCCCAGCCACTAGACCACCATGGGTTGGTGTTTCATGAAGCCACAGCAGGAACTTCGCAGACACTCAGGCAAGCAAGCAGGAAGAGGCAGGTTTGTTTAGAGAAAGAAAAAGTTTATTGAAGAGAAAAGGAACAGAAATAAAGTGGGACTCCCAGGCCATGAAACCAGGCCAGGGAGGGGCAAGGAAGCCGAAGTGGAGTCGTGTCTCTGTCTCAGAGAATATATACCTTCTTTCTCTAATTATTCTAAAGCTCCACCAGTCTCTTTGTGATTGCTTGGTTCCCAGGTGGCCTCACTGCTCCTTACCTAATAGGTTTGTTTTTCCCCATTTGTTGCATCTTCCCCCTTGTTTGATAGATTTATCTTTATTACCCAGTCTCCCAAATGAGCATCCCTGCATGTCAAGGAAGAGAAAGTCAAACATCAGCTATTGAAGAAAAATAGGCTGGCTCCCACTGATCTCAGTGCTGACCCCTTTCCATCTCCCCCTTGCATAAATATCCCTGCACTCTGTCAAAGGGCAGGACGGTGGTCTTCTATGAGTCTGCTGCCCTCCTCATTTGTCAACAAATTAAACCACTCAGACTCCACCTCCCTTTATTGGCTGAGGGAAACTGAGGCTGGCGTTTGGTAACAATGTTGTTCTTAGTCCTGGGATATTTATTATTCCCAGCGAAATTAGTTACATTCCTCTTGTTGTCCTTATCTCTGGACTAGTCCTTAACTCTCTGAAGGTCCCCACCTGCACTCTCCTTGAGGCTGCCTAATTCTCCCTAACTTGCCCTAGGATTCAACCCCAAGAAAATCAGCTTAAAAATTATTAGAAATCAGAAAAATATTCAACCAAACAATTGATTATAAAGGTAATATTCTAGGTACTTAGGGGCCACATAAAGATACCTTTAAAACCCTACTGTGTTGACAAACAGCAATTACTGTTCCTTGAAAAGAAGATATGTAGATAACCAAAAAATACTTGAAAGTTTATTCAACAACATTAGTCGTCTAGAAAATACAAATTAAAATTATAATGAGATAACATACATATTATTTTAGTTAAAATTTAAAAGACTGATTAAGTGTTATCAAGGATGTGGATCACCTGAAATTCTCGTAGGAATATGAAGTGTTAAATCCATTTTGGATAATGTTTGGCAGTATTTTAAACTTAAACATACACCTACCTCCAGTCCCTTCCTAAATCTTTACTCAAGAGGAACAAAAACTTATGGTTTTGTTCACAGCAATATTATTTGTGATAATCAGAAACACTAATGTCCTTCAGCAGGTAAATGGGCAAACAAATCATGGAATATCTACAATGTAATACTATTCAGCTATTAAAAATTTAACAAATGCAATAATCTACAATGATATAAAACAGATCGGTAGTTACCTGAGTTTGGGATGAATTACAAAGGGAATACTAGGGAATTGGGTGGGGTGTTGGTGACATAAATGTTACCTTGATTAGAATGATAGTTTCATAGGTATGCACATACATGAGAAATGATCAGATTGCACACTTGAACCATTTGCAATTCTCAAGTTAAACCTCAGTAAAGTTACACAAACCAATACCATGCACACTTTAAAACTCCTACTCTCATCTATCTTGTATATTTTTAGAAATACCTGATGTGTCTTTATGTATTATGGGAACTTCTACTGCTGCAGAATAAATAGTTCATGATTTTATAACATCTTAAAGACCTCAGAATTCTACATGTAGACTAGTTGCTACAATTGAGAAAGCTAGATTAAAAGACATATCCTACTGAGAAACATAAAAGAAGACTATAATAAATGGAAAGATATACCCCTGTTCTTATAAAGATAGTGTTTTAAAGATCATTCTCCCTAAATTCATCTATAAATTTTTAATGCAAGCCCAATCTTGGAAAAGGTAGCCCACCAGAAATTTACCCAATTCGGATTTGGACCCACTTGTAGTTAGCAGTATTAGAATTTATTTCCTCTTTTCATGCAATGTAGCAGTCATTATGACCATTCTCTTTTCTCTTTAATTCATCATCTCTTTCTTCTTAGCTTCATTTACTAATAGGGGAATTGGAGTTACCTTCCATAATCATATGTATTACATTTTTAACTTCATTTAGCTGACTTTTTCCACCACACAGTGACCCTTTCCTTCATCTGCGCTCTGTGCCCCAAATACTGTTATTTACTCAAAACTATCAGTTCCTTACTCTTGCTTCTATTCTACTAGCTGTAGAGAAGACTATATGTTTTAACTTATGTATAATCCCAGTATTTTGAAGATGAAAAAATATTTGTTAGTTCTTCTGACCCTACATTGTATCTTTTCTTCCTGTGACAACCAAGACCCTGAGCAAATTACTTTCTCCATTTCTTTGTTTTTTTAAGATTTATTTATTTATGCATACAAGTACTGGGGCCAGAGGTATGGGGGGCTAAGACGATTCACCAGAGACAGATTTGGGGAGCAGAACAGGCGGGTCTACTGAAAAACACTGCTGAGGGGAGCAGCATGTGAGATAGGAGAGGTCTGCTGCGCCATGTGGGTCACCTCCCTGCTCTGAGAGCTGCAGATTGCTTCATAGTGCTGACGCTTAGCCCCTTGCGCCACCAGGGAGGCCCCACTTTCTCCATTTCTTAACTAACATTACCTTCTTCAGTCCTTCCTAATTTTGCTTTCAGCACAACTGTTCTCGTAAATCACAAATTACTAGGTTTTTTTCTTTTCTACTTATACCTTTATTTGACAATTTTTTAACTACGTGCCTTATTGAAACTCTCCTCTTTGTTTTTACCACCTGTATTTCTAACCTCAGATCATTTCTTCTTATTGCCTCTGATTCTAATTATAAAACATTTGCAGCAAAATTCTTGGTCCTCTACATGTAAGATTATAGAAAGCCACTTTTTTTTTTCTTTCTCCCTCACCTATGGACCACTTGCAGTTTTGCTCATTCTTCTAGACTTGCTGTTTTTTCTGTTCTCCTGTTGTTTTCTGTCCCACTGTCACTTCAGTCACACTTTATTTTTTTTTTTTTTTTATAGAGGCATGTTTTTATTTATTTATTTGTTTGTTTGTTCGTTCGTTTTGTTTATACATGCACTGGGTACAGTCAGAAGCGCGGGAGGGTGAGAGAATTCACAGAGCCAGAGCAGGGAGCAGAGCAGGCAGAAGGACCGAAGTACACTGCTGAGGGGAGCAGCGGGCGGCAGGAGAGGTCTGCGCGCCATGTGGGACCCTCCTCCGGTGGCCGGGGAGCAGCCGGGGATCGAACAGGCGCCCCAGAGGTCGCCGGCAGCTTTGCAACCCAGCGCTCAACCGCTGCGCCACCGGGGAGGCCCTCAGTCACACTTTAAATTGAACTCTTAACTTTCTTACATATTTACTGATGAAAGCATTTCCTCCAGACTCCTGTTTATCTGATAAATAGTATATAAAGCTGCTCCTAGATTACTTCATTTATTTATTTGTTAATTTTTGGACAGTATTTGTTTTTTTTTGTTTGTTTGTTTTTAGATTTATTTATGCATACAAGAACTGGGGTACAGGCCAGAGGTGTGTAGGGTGAGAGGATTCACCAGAGACAGAGTGGGGAGCAGAACAGGTGGACTGACTGAAATACACTGCTGAGGAAGCAGCAGGCAAGTCAGGAGAGGTCTGCTGCACCATGTGGGTTGTTCCCTGGCCGGGAATTGAACTCCTGCTGCACTGGCTGCAGATAGCTTCATAGATTGCGTCTTAACCCCTTGAGTCACCAGGGAGGCCCAATTTTTGGACAGTATTTTGGACAGATTTTGATTTTGACAGTATTTGATTTTGGACAGTATTTGATCACAGCATCCATGATCCATCTCTCCCATCCCTTATGCTCTTCCTTCCCCTCTTTTGACCCTTTCTGCTCCCCTACTGTATGCCACAGATCTGTGGTCAGCTTGCAAGTTTTATCTTTTTCCTAACCCTTTATTTGGTTTCTCACTAAATTTTCTTTTTTTTTGAAGATTTATTTATTTAATCATACAAGCACTGGGTACAGTCAGAAGCGCGGGAGGGTGAGAGAATTCACCAGAGCCAGAGCGGAGAGCAGAACAGGCAGAGTGACGAAGTACACTGCTGAGGGGAGCAACGGGCGGCAGGAGAGGTCTGCGCGCCATGTGGGACCCTTGCCCGGTGGCCGGGGATTGAACTGGTGCTGCTGAGGCTGCACGCAGCTTCGCAGCCCAGCGCTCAATCACTGTGCCACCAGGGAGGCCCTCTCACTAAATTTTCTAATGAAGAGAATAAGAATACATTGAATTGTTACCTATTTATTGGATTAGGCCCAAAATGTTTGCCCAAACCTGCAAGTCCTTTTACCTCTTGGCCATGCTTCCCACTATTCCCCACCGTGTACTCTGATCTTGTGTCTTCTTTCTGCTCATTGGTCCTCCCTTGTTGGTCCCCACTTCCATGCCTTTACTCATTCCACTTCTGCCAGGAGCACCTGTCTTCTCAATTCTGTATAGCTCTTCTACAGAAGAGCTGAAATTCCATGAAATATTTTATTTACTTTATTAAGTTCAGGTAGTGATAATCTTTCCTTTTGAGTACTTTATTTCATTATGACTTTACATCTTTTTTTCCCCAAAGTAAATTGTTAGCACCTTTAAAGCAGTTATCAGTATGCTTTGTTTGTAGCCTCTGAAGTGCCTCTAATTGTGATAGCTTCAGAGTAGAGTTTTAAAATGAATGTTTGTTCCCTAATCTATTTGTAGTGAGAAGAAAGACTGACATCAGCATCATGGCAAGGTGTTTTTCCAGTATGCTTTCCTTTTAATAAGTTACAATGTTATTGTTCAATCAACCACATATATCCATGTGTTTTTTATACAAACAGAATATATACACAATGCTTTCTAACTTGTTCTTCTCATTTAACAATACTTCTTAGATATCTTTCCATATCAACATATGGGTTTTTTTAATTTACTTTCTGTTTTCCTGAAAATGTTATTTTATAATAGTTTCTATTTTATTGTTTTTATTCTAACATAAGCTCTTGTAAGATATGTGTCTACCATTTAAAAACTTAGAATAAAGCTTGTAAAGTCATTAGTTTAATATTGTGTTCTGCTTATTGTATAGTTTATGGGACTTAAGTTCCATTTTATATTTTATAAAGTTGTTCTAAATGAAGAGTCCTAATCCTTTTTCATTGAGGGCTAGACAGCATGTCAGATAAAAATAATAACTTATTCCATACAAGTAAACACAGGAGTTACAAGAGATAAATTCTGCCTCTAATTAGATGATTTGTATCCTGTTTCTTAATAGGAATCGACTCTCAAAAGTGTATTGAGTGCCTTATGGAATTTGTCAGCACATTGCACTGAGAATAAAGCTGATATATGTGCTGTAGATGGCGCACTTGCATTTTTGGTTGGCACTCTCACTTATCGGAGCCAGACAAATACTTTGGCCATTATTGAAAGTGGAGGTGGAATATTACGGAATGTGTCCAGTTTGATTGCTACAAATGAGGACCACAGGTAAAAACAGAGTTTTTTATTACTTCTAAATGAATTAGTAGAAAATTCATCAAAATCAACAAGCAACTATAAACCAGAGACACACTATGGGGGGAGGAAGGATTAGGGCCAAAATAAGGGGAGTGGGAATTGTATGGGGAATATAACCAAAATGAAAATTCATACATTGTGCAAAAATGAAAAATGATGTAAGAATTATATAAAATAAAATTTTTAAAAATTCATATTCTCTAAAGGGCCCAGTTATACATACTGTTTCATGTAATTATGCAAATTCTGGGCTAAGCCGTATTACAGGGAAAATACAGGTATTAATCCACAATTTACTCACTTTATGTGTACGCTAATAAAAGTTCATAATATTGTAAAGATGTCTAGAAATAAACAAGTAAGAGATGAGAGATATGACCTGTGTATAGAGGGAAAAAATTCAAGTCACAGATAATAGAACAAAATCCCTTCCTTTTGGTCAGTATGGAATAAAGGAATGTAAGGTTTATGAAAAACTGATAAAGACAGTATACTGGTGTTGCAAATGGTGTTGTAACTTCAATAATGATAACCACTATTTAGCCAACAGACATTTGTCTAATCTGCTAGAGCTGTGAGACTTAGGAAAGCACCTTGGATGCAGGATAGACATTTTCAGAACTTGGGCTCTGTATTGTTTTAACAAAAATAAGGGTATCTTCCACAGCATGTTGTTTCTTTTTAATTTATCCAGTATTGTTCCTCTCTTACTTTCAGAAAGATCATGAGGTACTTTTAGTAAAGTGTAACCTATAAAAATACATTTATAGGTTGTAAATAAACAAAGATGTTCTTTATATTTTTAATACATAAACTTGCTTTATAGCCCTTTCTGCCATGCAAAGATTTCTTAAACTCAGTAAGCACTCAGGTATCTACTGGATTGCTGAGAGACCACCATGTTGAAGCTGTTGCAAACACTTGACACTCAGTTTAAAACCCACTAAAGCTGAATATACTGTGTTGAAACTTCATTTCATATATATTAAAAGATGTGAAGCTCTCTCAGGTCCCAGAATTCGTTAAGCCAATTTTCAACCCTTGTTTTTGTTACCTTAAGATGTCTTGAAAACCTTTCATTCACTTTATTTTTTAAAATAACAACTACATATACACAGTTTGCCAGAGCATACGTAAAGGGGATGGCAGTATAACAGAGTCAAGCTGGAGACATAAAGATTATACTCCAAACGTCAGTTTGCTTCTCTAGGAGAGTCATTGTTCTTGCTGACTGCATAAAGATCTGTTGATCACTTCTCTCTGCCTCTTCCAAGCTACCTAAGTGGTCAGCACTGTGGCACCAATCCATAGATTAAATTATTACAAAGCCCCTGTTCAGCATAAGATTTCATGATATATTTATAGTCCATTTGATATAACTGGACTAAAAGAAAAAATTTTAAGAGCTATTGGAACCAGAATGCAAAATGCAGAATATACATCTATAAAAGGATTTTCCACCAGAAAAATAAATGTAGAATAGACTAAAACTAACACTTTTACTTCTTTTGGTTTGAAAGAGGAGCCATTAAAACAATAAATATTAGCTAAACTAGCAAAAGCAGATAGGGAATGCTTGAAATTTATAGTATAACTTTTATAGTATAACTTGGTTATATTTTGCATGTTCAAGTTTTAGTAGTAATCTTTAGATTTATATGTGTTCTACCTTTTTATTTGTTGTTACTACAAACAGATTTTGACCATAGTTTTGTGATCTCTTATTTATACTTCAGGCAAATCCTAAGGGAGAACAACTGTCTGCAAACCTTATTACAACACTTGAAATCTCACAGTTTGACAATTGTCAGTAATGCCTGTGGAACCTTGTGGAATCTCTCAGCAAGAAATCCCAAAGACCAGGAAGCATTATGGGACATGGGGGCAGTCAGCATGCTCAAGAACCTCATTCATTCAAAGCATAAAATGATTGCTATGGGAAGTGCCGCAGCTTTAAGGAATCTCATGGCAAATAGACCTGCTAAATATAAGGATGCCAATATTATGTCTCCTGGCTCAAGCTTGCCATCTCTTCATGTCAGGAAGCAAAAGGCCCTGGAAGCAGAATTAGATGCTCAGCATTTATCAGAAACTTTTGACAATATCGATAATTTAAGTCCCAAGGCATCTCATCGTAGTAAGCAAAGACATAAGCAAAGTCTCTATGGTGACTATGTTTTTGATAGCAATCGACATGATGACAATAGGTCAGACAGTTTTAATACTGGAAACGTCACTGTCCTTTCACCATATTTAAATACCACAGTGTTACCCAGCTCCTCTTCACCAAGGGGAAGTTTAGATAGTTCTCGTTCTGAAAAAGATAGAAGTTTAGAGAGAGAACAAGGAATTAGCCTGGGCAACTACCACCCAGCAACAGAAAATTCAGGAACCTCTTCAAAGAGAGGTTTGCAGATCTCTACCACGGCAGCCCAGATTGCTAAAGTTATGGAAGAAGTATCAGCCATTCATACCTTCCAGGAAGACAGAAGTTCTGGGTCTACCACTGAATTGCACTGTGGGACAGATGAGAGGACTGCAGTAAGAAGAAGTTCTACCATCCACACACATTCAAATGCTTACAACTTCACTAAGTCAGAAAATTCAAATAGGACATGTGCTATGCCTTATGCCAAGTTGGAATATAAGAGATCTTCAAATGATAGTTTAAATAGTGTCAGCAGCAGTGATGGTTATGGTAAAAGAGGTCAAATGAAACCATCAATTGAATCTTATTCTGAAGATGATGAAAGTAAATTTTGTAGCTATGGACAATATCCAGCTGACCTGGCCCATAAAATACATAGTGCAAATCATATGGATGATAATGATGGAGAACTGGATACACCAATAAATTATAGTCTTAAATATTCAGATGAGCAACTAAATTCTGGGAGGCAGAGTCCTTCACAGAATGAAAGATGGGCAAGACCTAAACATGTAATAGAAGATGAAATAAAACAAAGTGAGCCAAGACAATCAAGAAGTCAAAGCACAACTTATCCTGTATATACTGAGAGCACTGATGATAAACACCTCAAGTTCCAACCACATTTCGGACAGCAAGAATGTGTTTCCTCATTTAGGTCAAGAGGAGCCAGTGGTTCAGAAACAAATCGAGTGGGTTCTAATCATGGAATTAATCAAAATGTAGGCCAGTCTTTGTGTCAGGACGATGACTATGAAGACGATAAACCAACCAACTATAGTGAACGTTACTCTGAGGAAGAACAGCATGAGGAAGAAGAGAGACCAACAAATTATAGCATAAAATATAATGAAGAAAAACATCATGTGGATCAGCCTATTGATTATAGTTTAAAATATGCCACAGACATATCTTCCTCACAGAAACCATCATTTTCATTCTCAAAGAGTTCTTCTGGGCAGAACACTAAAACTGAACACATCTCTTCAAACAGTGAAAATACATCTGCACCTTCGTCTAATGCCAAGAGGCAGAATCAGCTCCACCCAAGTTCAGCACAGACCAGAAGTGGTCAGACACAGAAAGCCACCTCTTGCAAAGTTCCCTCTATCAACCAAGAAACAATACAGACTTACTGTGTAGAAGATACACCAATATGTTTTTCAAGGTGTAGTTCATTATCATCTTTGTCATCAGCTGAAGATGAAATAGGATGTGACCAGGCAACACAGAAAACAGAGTCCGCTAATACTCTACAAATAGCAGAAATTAAAGACAACGGTGGAACTAGATCAACTGAAGATTCTGTGAGTGAAGTTCCAACAGTGGCCCAGCACATTAGAACCAAGTCTAGCAGACTCCAGGCTTCTGGTTTATCTTCAGATTCAAGCAGGCACAAAGCTGTTGAATTTTCTTCAGGGGCCAAGTCTCCATCAAAAAGTGGTGCTCAGACACCTAAAAGTCCACCAGAGCACTATGTTCAGGAGACTCCACTCATGTTTAGCAGATGTACCTCTGTCAGTTCACTTGATAGTTTTGAGAGTCGTTCAATTGCCAGCTCTGTTCAGAGTGAACCCTGCAGTGGGATGGTAAGTGGCATTATAAGCCCCAGTGACCTTCCAGATAGCCCTGGACAAACCATGCCACCAAGCAGAAGTAAAACCCCTCCTCCTCAAACAGTTCCAACTAAACAGGAAGTGCCTAAAAACAAACTACCTACTGCTGAAAAGAGGGAGAGTGGACCTAAGCAAGCTGCTGTAAGTGCTGCAGTACAGAGGGTCCAAGTTCTTCCAGATGCTGATACTTTATTACATTTTGCCACAGAAAGTACTCCAGATGGATTTTCTTGTTCATCTAGCCTGAGTGCTCTGAGCCTCGATGAGCCATTTATACAGAAAGATGTGGAGTTAAGAATAATGCCTCCAGTTCAGGAAAATGACAATGGGAATGAAACAGAATCTGAGCAGCCTGAAGAATCAAATGAAAACCCAGAAAAAGAGACAGAAAAACCTACTGATTCTGAAAAAGATCTATTAGATGATTCAGATGAAGATGATATTGAAATACTAGAAGAATGTATTATCTCTGCCATGCCAACAAAATCTTCTCGCAGAGCCAAAAAACCAGCTCAGACCGCTTCAAAATTACCTCCTCCTGTGGCAAGGAAACCAAGTCAACTGCCTGTATATAAACTTCTGCCATCACAAAACAGATTGCAAGCACAGAAGCATGTTAGCTTTACACCAGGAGATGATATGCCACGGGTATATTGTGTAGAAGGGACACCTATCAACTTTTCCACAGCTACATCTCTAAGTGATCTAACAATAGAATCCCCTCCAAATGAGTTAGCTGCTGGAGAAGGGGGTAGAACAGTGGCACAGTCTTGTGAAATTGAAAAACGAGATACCATTCCTACGGAAGGCAGAAGTACCGATGAGGCTCAGAGAGGGAAAACCTCATCTATAACTATACCTGAACTGGATGACAGTAAAACAGAAGAAGGTGATATTCTTGCAGAATGCATCAATTCTGCTATGCCCAAAGGAAAAAGTCACAAGCCTTTCCGTGTGAAAAAGATAATGGACCAGGTCCAGCAAGCTTCTATGTCTTCATCTGGAACTAACAAAAATCAATTAGATGGCAACAAGAAAAAACCCACTTCGCCAGTTAAACCTATTCCACAAAACACTGAATATAGGACACGTGTAAGAAAAAATACAGACTCAAAAAATAGTATGAATGCTGAAAGAACTTTCTCAGACAACAAAGATTCTAAGAAACAGAACTTGAAAAATAACTCCAAGGACTTCCATGATAAACTTCCAAATAATGAAGATCGAATCCGAGGGAGTTTTACTTTTGATTCACCCCATCATTACACACCTATTGAAGGAACGCCTTACTGTTTTTCACGAAATGATTCTTTGAGTTCTCTAGATTTTGATGATGATGATGTTGACCTTTCCAGGGAAAAGGCTGAATTAAGAAAGGGGAAAGAAAATAAGGAATCAGAAGCTAAAGTCAGCAGCCACACAGAGCTAACTTCCAATCAGCAGTCAGCTCATAAGCCACAAACTGTTACAAAACACACAATAAATCGAGGTCAGTCTAAACCCATGCTGCAGAAGCAATCCACTTTTCCCCAGTCATCCAAAGACATACCAGATAGAGGGGCAGCAACTGATGAAAAATTACAGAATTTTGCTATTGAAAATACTCCAGTTTGCTTTTCCCAAAATTCCTCTCTAAGTTCTCTTAGTGACATTGATCAAGAAAACAACAACAAAGAAAATGAGCCTATCAAAGCAACAGAGCCCCCTGACTCACAGGGAGAACCAAGTAAAGCTCAAGCATCAGGTTATGCTCCAAAGTCATTTCATGTTGAAGATACCCCGGTTTGTTTCTCAAGAAACAGTTCTCTCAGTTCTCTTAGTATTGATTCTGAAGATGACCTGTTGCAGGAATGTATAAGTTCTGCAATGCCAAAAAAGAAAAAGCCTTCAAGACTCAAGGGTGATAATGAAAAGCATAGTCCTAGACATGTGGGTGGCATATTAGCAGAAGATTTGACACTTGACTTGAAAGATGTGCAGAGACCAGATTCAGAACATGGTTTATCCCCTGACTCAGAAAATTTTGATTGGAAAGCTATTCAGGAAGGTGCAAATTCCATAGTAAGTAGTTTACATCAAGCTGCTGCTGCTGCATGTTTATCTAGACAAGCCTCATCTGATTCAGATTCCATCCTTTCACTGAAATCAGGAATCTCTCTCGGATCACCATTTCATCTTACACCTGATCAAGAGGAAAAACCCTTTACAAGTAATAAAGGCCCACGAATTTTAAAACCAGGGGAGAAAAGTACACTGGAAACTAAAAAAATTGAATCTGAAAATAAAGGAATCAAAGGAGGAAAAAAAGTTTATAAAAGTTTGATTACTGGAAAAGTTCGATCTAATTCAGAAGTTTCAAGCCAAATGAAGCAGTCCCTTCAAACAAACATGCCTTCAATCTCTCGAGGTAGGACAATGATTCATATTCCTGGAGTTAGAAATAGCTCTTCTAGTACAAGTCCTGTTTCTAAAAAAGGCCCACCTCTTAAAACACCTGCCTCCAAAAGCCCTAGCGAAGGCCAGACAGCTACCACTTCTCCAAGAGGACCCAAGCCATCTGTGAAGTCAGAATTAAGTCCTGTCACTAGACCTGCTTCCCAGCCAGGTGGGTCAAATAAAGGTCCTTCTAGATCAGGGTCTAGAGATTCCACTCCTTCAAGACCTGCCCAGCAGCCATTAAGTAGACCTATGCAGTCCCCAGGGCGAAATTCAATTTCTCCTGGTAGAAATGGAATAAGTCCTCCTAACAAATTATCTCAACTGCCAAGGACATCATCCCCTAGTACTGCTTCAACTAAGTCCTCAGGTTCTGGAAAAATGCCGTACACATCACCAGGCAGACAGCTGAGCCAGCAGAACCTTACCAAACAAACCGGTTTATCAAAGAACGGCAGTAGTATCCCAAGAAGTGAGTCTGCCTCCAAAGGATTGAATCAGATCAGTAATAGCAATGGATCCAATAAAAAAGTAGAGCTTTCTAGAATGTCTTCAACTAAATCAAGTGGAAGTGAATCTGATAGATCAGAGAGACCAGTATTAGTACGCCAGTCAACTTTCATCAAAGAAACCCCAAGCCCAACCCTTAGAAGAAAATTGGAGGAATCTGCTTCATTTGAATCTCTTTCTCCATCTTCTAGACCAGATTCTCCCACTAGATCCCAGGTACAGACTCCAGTTTTAAGTCCTTCCCTTCCTGATATGTCCCTGTCCACACATTCATCTGTTCAGGCTGGTGGATGGCGAAAACTCCCTCCCAATCTGAGTCCCACTCTAGAGTATGATGATGGAAGACCAGCAAAGCGCCATGATGTTGCCCGGTCCCATTCTGAAAGCCCTTCCAGACTTCCAATCAATAGGGCAGGAACCTGGAAACGGGAGCACAGCAAACATTCATCATCCCTTCCCCGAGTAAGCACTTGGAGAAGGACTGGAAGTTCATCCTCAATTCTTTCTGCTTCATCAGAATCTAGTGAAAAAGCAAAAAGTGAGGATGAAAAACAGGTGAACTCGAGTTCAGGAACAAAACAAGCTAAAGAAAATCAAATATTCACAAAAGGAACATGGAGAAAAATAAAAGAAAGTGAAATTTCTCCCACAAGTACTTCTCAGACCACTTCCTCAGGTGCTGCAAATGGTGCTGAAACAAAGACTCTGATTTATCAAATGGCACCTGCTGTTTCTAAAACAGAGGATGTGTGGGTGAGAATTGAGGACTGTCCCATTAACAACCCTAGATCTGGAAGATCTCCCACAGGAAATGCTCCACCAGTGATTGACAGTGTTTCAGAAAAGGGAAATCCAGCTGCTAAGGATGCAAAAGATAATCAGGGAAAACAAAATGTGGGTAACAGCAGCACTACTATACGCACTGTGGGTTTAGAAAACCGCCTGAACTCTTTTATTCAGGTAGATGCCCCAGACCAAAAAGGAACTGATGCAAAAACGGGTCAAAACTCTGCCGCTGTGTCAGAGACTAATGAAGGTTCTATAGTTGAACGTACCCCATTCAGTTCTAGCAGCTCAAGCAAACACAGTTCACCTAGTGGGACTGTTGCTGCCAGAGTGACTCCTTTTAATTACAACCCGAGCCCTAGAAAAAGCAGCGCAGACAGCACTTCGGCCCGACCATCTCAGATCCCAACTCCAGTGAATAACACTACCAAGAAACGAGATTCCAAAACTGACAATACAGAATCCAGTGGAACTCAAAGTCCTAAGCGCCACTCTGGCTCCTACCTTGTGACATCTGTTTAAAAGAGCTGGAATAATGATGCTAAGAAGGTTATGTGTTAATTACAACTGCTATGTATAAATTTTGTTTCAAAGGAAACTTTAAAAGACTGATGAAAGTTTTTGTAAATAGATTTGATTCTTGTTAGAGGGTTTTTGTTCTGAAAGCCATATTTGATAGTATACTTTGTCTTCACTGGTCATATTTTGGGACACAATCCTGATAGTTAGGAAGAAAATAGTAAAGCCAAGTATATTTGTACAGTATGTATTACATGTAATTAAGTAGCATCCCATCCTTTAATTATTGCTTGTATTAAAATAATGAACACTACAAATAGAAGATATGATACATAATTATCAGTCATTTCTAGGTTATAAACTGACTAAACTTACATCAGGGAGAAATTGGTATTTATGCAAAAAATAATCTGTTTTAGTTCTTGTGAGTCCATAATTAATCATGTGGCTGTGAAATTCACAGTAATATGGTTCTGAATGAACAAGTTTATCAAGCCTGCTTTGCTTTACTGCATGAATGAAACTGATGGTTCAATTTCAGAAGTTCTGTGGTCACATGATGTGCATATAGATAGCTAGGGTGTAACAATTTACACTATTTTGTGCTCCAAACAAAACAAAACAAAAAAATCTGTGTAATTGAAACTATTTTACCTGAACTAGATTTTATCTGTAGGTAGATTTTTTTGCTATGCTGTAACTTGTTGTATATTCTGGTATTTGAGGTGAGATGGCTGCTCTTTTATTAATGAGACATGAATCATGTCTCAAAAGAAACTAAATGAACATTTCAGAATAAATTATTGCTGTATGTAAAACTATTACTGAAGTTGGTATTTGAGGGTGTTATTTCGTATTTGTATTGTTAAAAGGGCCTCTTTTAAAAGCTTATATAAACTTTCTCTTCAAATTCTATGCATTAAGAGTAAAAGTTCTCTTACTGTAATAAAAATAATTGGAGCTATTGGCATTTAACCATTCCATGCATTGGCACTTAACCATTCCTGAATTTTTTTTAATGTGATTAGAACTTTTTGATGTTAGGTACTTTTACCCTTGTGTTTTTTTCTTACTCCCCTGGAATTCACTTAAAACAAATTAATATAATAACAATGTAAACTGCCACAGGACTAGGCATTGAACATAATAGGCCCATATAGAATATTTCCTTTTCCTTAATAGAAATCTAAACTCTATACTTGAAAAAAATGATTATTCTGATTGTAAGTAGTCCCTCCCAAGCCTCTAACTGTCTTGTCCCTTCATCTTCACCCTGTTAACTGGGTTTGGAATGAGCAAGTTTTATCACTCTACATATTGTGGAAAATTACAGCAGCCAGGCATAAGCAGCATTTTGCCATGCTCATAAAATGCTAATCCTGTGGAATGTTAGTTAGATTTAATACCATTAAGATATTTAAAACACTATTTCAAAACCCCTGCCTGTTAAGGAAGATTGTTTTTGGTGAGTAGAGTTCTGGGTTGTGTAAGAACAGCAAGGAAAGTCCTCCTTCACAAAGAGAGAGAATTTGATAACACTTAGCTAATTTAACTTGTCTTCTCAGAATGTGTTCTAAAAGAATAGAGAACACAAATAATAAATTTTCTCTGGTGAATAAATGAACTTTTTTTTTTTTAATGATCAAATTCATGCAGTTTGCATTTGGGAAATGGAAAGGCTATTTAGGTGTGATGGTGCCCTGGGAAAGGTTGTGGAAAGGAGTACATACACCTCCCTGCTGCTCTTGAGTTGTTATCACATGTAGTGAGGCTGATTTTTTTAAGACAGAATTGCTATTTAAAGTTTAAAAAAGGCATTTGACTTTAAAGTATACACTCTTTCCAATGTGCCTCATTGCAAACACCGCGATTTACTAATCTTTGGAATATATCTACTTTTAAATTTTTGTCAAGTTTTATCTGAATGAAAGTTTGTGAATACTACTACTAATTTATTATATTTATACTGCTCTAAAAGGCTGCCTTATCCAACAAGGATAGATATATGCATATAAGTTATATTTCTTTTCTCTTTTAATTCTGATTTTCTATTTTTCTGAATTACATGCTGATTTTTATAAACCACTTTAAATGCTTTTATGGAAAGAGATGGAATATAAGCCAATTAGAATAAAATTGTCTTTTCAAGGAAAAAAAAATCAATGCTGACAATGAAAAAAGGGTTCCCTCATGTGCCAGAAAACTTACAAATCCCTGTAGGCAACACCTATTAGGTAAAGACCAGTCCAAATAGCCATTGAAGAAAAGTTGGTTTACGAAATCTTTTAGTTAGAGATAATGACAGAATTGGTAAAGGGACAAATCTCAGTTCTACTTTGAGAAATTCACAGGGTGCTGCTGTGACAGTAACAAGCCAAATATTTCCAGTTTATGCTTATTACAAGCAGTATACTGACCAAGTATTGGAGGATAAGTTAAGAATTATGATGCCTATTAAGAGAAGTAGGGCAAATGGTCCTTTCTAGCTTTGACTGCAACAAAGAACTCCAAAGGCAGTAGAGTGCATTTGAATCATGAGTCATGCTTATTAAGATACAACAGGGCTACCCTCCTATAGTTTCAGACTTGAATGGGGCCCAAAAATTTGCAGGTTCAACAAGTTCACGGATGATGATTGGTGCTGGTGGTCAGGGAACCACTTTTGAGAACTGTTGCTCGAAGGTATAACATGAAGCTCCTTCAGTGATTACCTTGTTACATCCATTTATCTCAACAAGTGGACCTTCAAACTGACAAAATTATACCAACAGATTCACTTCCCTCTCCTATAGGCATGAAAGATTTGAATATTGAATGATACACTGGTATAGCCAATTTCATCTTCCAATAGTGGACAGATGTACCTGATGTGAATGATTTTAAGAGGTCAGCTGACATATCCTTTGAAACTGTTATTTTAAAGGCAATAGTTTCAGCAAATGTCTAATGTGTTTGCTTTAGTAAAGTCAAGAGAATATAAGAAATGATCTTTCACATGAGGGAAGATTGATTAAAGGAAAATGTGCCCAATTTGTTAATAAAGAGTGTGAGTGATTAGCAACAATTACTATGACAAATCAGATTGGTATATGAGGATAAACTGTTACCTGAACACAGGAAGGAAAAATGACAGAAGAATAATGAAATAAAAGATAAGCCCAGAGAGAGCAAATAACATAGAATAGTCAAAAATTGTTTTGATGATGTAAAATACAGATTATGCTAATACAAAGTTAAGTGAAGGGATAGGTCTTAGGGTGAAAATCAGTTGTATGCTATATCTGAATTCATGTTTTAACAGGGTTTCCTTGTATTTAAGATAGGAAAAGAACAGTGTGCCATAAATGCAGAAAATATGTTGTCAAAGTGCTAAAGAAAGATTTAAGTAGTCAAATGATTAAAATTTACCAAACAAAAATAATTTTTCAAAAGTCAAGCTTACCGAAATAGGGTTTATAAATTACCTTTTTTATTCTAATGGGCATCTCCCTGATACTTATGCTGACTTTAAGATATTACTTTATAGTCTTGACACCTATGGACTTTGACTCCTGTAAACACTACGTCCTTTTCCTGCTGTGCTCATAACTGTTCTGTGGTCTATAAAACTATATTCTGGTTTTTGTTAGGCCATTGATACTTCTTTCAACCTGTATGTTCTATGTGTAAAATATTGTTCTTGGTGCTAAATATACTTTGTTTCTTCTAATATTCAGGATAATTCTCTACATTTGTGACTATTATTTTCTTAAAGCTTTGTGATTGTTACTTTTTTCAAATTAAAATTACTCAACATAATTTTTACTAGTTAAGGTGAGCATTGATTATAATGTTCATTTGTGAAAAGCAATTATTGAGAATGATACCAAATATCACCTGCCCCAAATGTTTGGAAATCTAAACATTTAGATTCAGTATTGGTCACTAAACCATGTATACAGTCTGTTCCCCTAACTGTGACTGCCCCACAAGATACTAACCTAGGGCCAGTGATTAAAGACTTGTATAACATGGTTTAAAAAAAAAAAAAGAAAAAGGCTGGGCTGCTCAGTTGCAAGTAAAAATCATGAATCACGAAGGAGAATTCAGGTTTTTGATTGAGTGCTAGAACTAAAAGGCTATATAGTAAAGGCTGAGGTTATTGGCATCATGACACAAAAACAAAAAACAAATCCAGCCTGTAGCGAAAGAAGGGAATATTTGAGAGGAAATCAGAGTGAAGAAGTAAGACACATAACACAAGTCACTTGTTCCTGGTTATCGTCTCAATACCAGCTTTCTGGGACCTCACTATACTATTCCTTGAGATTGGGTCATTTGTGAACTTCAAACCAACATTTTGTTTCTGAATTACCTTGAAAATAACAGAAAAAATCATTAAGACATATCAGTAAGTTTTTAATTTTCAAAGATAGAGAAATCTTTATTTTAAAAAAATCTATGGAGAAACAAATATACTTCCTACAAAAAAAAATTAGGTTGGCATCAGATTTCTTCTTAGCAATACTAGTGCCAAAAAGGAAAAAAATGGAACAAATAGAACAGTATATCACCATTTGAAGGAAATAAACATTAAGAACTCTGAAATCACCTCAATTAGCATTTATCTAAAATACTTGTAACATTCAGTATGCTTGGCAACAAGACCCCAAAAGACAAGATGTTTGTTTAAAGAATTTTAGGTAGCAGGCCTCCCTGGTGGCAGAGGGATTAAAGAATGTACTGTGAAGCTATCACCAGCCACTGCAGCACAAGTTCGATCTCCCGCCAGGGAGCTACCCACATAGTGCAGCAGACCTCTCCTGTCTTGCCCACTGCTCCCTTCAGCAGTGTATTTCAGTGCCTGTTCTGTTCCCCACTCTGTCTGGTAAATCCTCTCATCGCCCCCCAACACCTCTGGTTTACACCCCAGTTCTTGTATGAATAAATTAAAAAAAAAAAAAGAATATTAGGTAGATCACAGGCTCTGTTAGGAGGTCCAGAAAATCAGTCTTGAAAAATACACAATGGAAAAAATACCCAAACCATACGTCAGACTGCTTTAGTGAAGACCCAATTGCTGCCCCTAAATAACAACTTTCTCACACACATCCTCATCATAAAAAAAAAAAAACTTATGGAACTTGCTCCCACATATTGCTCTCTTCTGAATTGAAGTCTTGCTTGGATCAACATGACTGGAGTATGGGAAAGCTCAAATTTTTGGTTTCTCCATATAAGAAGCTAAATTCAAAAAACATGAATTTTCCAAATCTACAAGGGGTATCTCAAGCACTGAGCAGCCAAAAACCAGAAAAAAGTTCTATCACATTATTCCTGCTGAATAGGAGTTGAAATAAACTATTTCAATTAAAAAAAAAAACTATTAGGGACCTCACTGGTGGCGCAAGGGGTTAAGACGCAACCTATGAAGCTATCTGCAGCCACTGCAGCACGAGTTTGATCCCCAGCCAGCCAGCCAGCCAGGGTTCTACCACATGATGCAGCAGACCTCTCCTGACTCACCCACTGCTCCCCTCAGCAGTGTACTTCGGTCAATCTGCCTGTTCTGTTCCCCACTCTGTCTCTGGTGAATCCTCTCACCCCCCCACCTCTGGCCTGTACCCCAGCTCTTGTATGCATAAATAAATAATTTTTTTAAATGATGAAACATCATTAAAAAAAAACTTAGCAATAAAAATTTTGTGCTTCCATGTATAAATAAATATTGTTAATCTGATCATGAATTTCAATGTGAATGTCCACATAACTCAAAAAGATAAAATTAACTTTAATAATATTAAATTACAGATTATTCCAACTCATACTGGAAAGCTAGAAGGGAGGGAAGACAAAAGCATAATAAAATTCTAATGTAAGCAGAGTCAATAGATGCTATTTTGTTTTTAACTTAGGAAAATAATCACTTTTAATTTAGTGGTAACCCCAGTGTTAGAAAAAAATTCCATCTAAATCACCAACCAAAATATAATTAAGAATACGTGAACAAGACATCAAAGAACACGAGAAATAGGGAGAGGGAGAATTAGTGAGAAAAGCATAAAATGACAATAATACCAAATAATAAATGTATTAAACACATATAGTAAAATAATCTGTGAGTGCACAGATTGGAGTCAAAAAATACCACAATAACAAAAGATACTTGGCTCATCTTGAGGACTAGCAAGACTTGGCTACCTGTCCTCCAGATACAACTAGGTTATAGTACAACAAAGCCAAAAGAACCCTGAGGGAAAAATGGACTACTATAGCACACACTAGGCATAATGGTCTGGCAGAGAGGGGTACATAAAACTTTAATTGAATGTTATTTGTTGTGACATTGGGAGCAGTACAAACCACAAAAGGGAGGGATGGCTTCTATGTGGAACCCCATAAAAATTGTTGACTTGGACACATGCCATAACTGGGGACTCCTGAAAACCATCTCTCCACTGGATAAGGGGGAACATAAGTTGGTGCACAAGATGGAGGGTGCACTGTTGGAGAGATTTTGGTGTAGAGGTGCAGAGCAAGGATTACTGACTGACCTGAGGCTTTCAATGTAGAACAGTTGAAGCCTGAACTGCTACACAGAAAACAGGTTTCAGCACCTGGGCCTCTTATAGAAGAGGCTATTACTCAAAGCTAAGGCTGAGGTAAGCAAAACATATGCTACCCCCCACACCAGGACAAAAACCAAAACAAAGAAATGCTTGAGCAAACTAGAGCTCAAGCTCCTAACAGTAACAGGAACAAACACTCCAGGATAAGACTGCAGGGAAAGACAATAACTCCTGGTGTCTGTGACACCAAATCAGCTACAATTCGTGGTAAGTGCTGCATCTTGCATTTAAAATATAACTAAAATGGAAATGGACACAAGGCTATAAGATACATTAAGACAGAGGAGCTGGCCTAAGGGATGGAGTAATGGTGATCCCTACCACAAAACACTGGTATCCACAGTACAGTATAGAATTTGAAGACCTGAGTTTACTGGAAGTGATTCTTTGGTGGCCTACTGCCCCAGTATTCTTTCATACCTTCTACCCCACATCAGTGCCAATTCTTAGATTACTTCAATAGGTTCAAAGACAACAGTCTGGAAAAATACCCTATTCTTTTTATTATTATGTTTTATTGTGTATTAGTACCACATCTTCTTGATCCAGTCATCTATTTTGGGGCATTTGGGTTGTTGCCATAGCTTACCTATTGTAAATAGTGCTGCTATAAACATGGGGTGCCGGTGTCCTTTTGAATTAATGTTTTTGTGTCCTTTGGGTAGATCCCTAGGAGTGGAATTGCTGGATCATATGGAAGCTCTATTTTTAGCAGATTGAGGAATCTCCACACAGCTCTCCATAGTGGTTGGGCCAGTTTGCACTCCCACCAAAAATGTAGGAGAGTTCCTTTTTCTCCACATCCTCACCAACATTTGTTGTTGCTAGTTTTTTAAATATGTGCCATTCTCACTGGTGTAAGATGGTTTCTTATTGTAGTTTTGATTTGCATTTCCCTGATTACAAGTGATGCTGAACATTTTTTCATATGCCTGTTGGCCATTTGCATTTCCTCTTTGGAGAAGTTTCTTTTTAGCTCTTCTGCCCATTTTTTGTCTGGGTTATTTACTTTGTTTTTGTTGAGTCTCATCAGCTCTTTGTAGATTTTTGTGATCAGTCCTTTATCATTAGTTTTGTGTGCAAAAATTTTCTCCCAATTGGTGGGGTGTCTCTTTGTTTTGGTTTCTGTCTCTTTTACTGTACAGAAGCTCTTTAATTTGATGTAGTCCCAGCTGTTTATCTTTTCCTTCACTATCACTGCTTTGGGTGATGTGTCTTTAAAGATGTTAGTTACTGAGGTGTATGTCATGTAGTGTTTTGCCTTTATTTCCTTCTATATATTTAATGGCTTCAGGTCTTATGTCTAGTTCTTTAATCCATTTTGAGTTGGCTTTTGTGCATGGTGTGAGGTAGTAGTCAAGCTTCATTCTTTTGCATGAAATACCCTATTATAAGTCATAAAAAATTTAAAAAGACAGAACACACCACAAATGCCAGAGCATAAATCAGACAATTATACAAGCAAATGGCAACCCAGAAAATCAGAAACAGCTTTTATATCTGATAAAATAGGTTTCTTAATTTTTTTTATTTCTTTATGCGTACAAGAACTGGAATCTAGACCAGAGGTGCAGGAACTGAAAGGATTCATTAGAGACAGAGTGGGGAGCAGAACCGGGGGTTCTATTGAAATGCACTGCTGAGGGGAGCAGCCGGTGAGACAGAGGAGGTCTGCTGCGCCAAGTGGGTAGCTCCCTGACCGGGATTGAACTCATGCTGCAGTGACTGCCAATAGCTTGATAGTGCTGATTTGCTGACACTTTAATCCCTGCGTCACCAGGGAGACCCCCTTACTCCTTTTCAGCTCATTACCCTCTCTTCTTCCATCTAGGTCCTCAGTGCATTAATATCTCTAGGCTACTTATTTGATCCTCCATTTGATCAATTCTACTTCCATAGCTTTCCTGAATTTGTTACTTTCTTATTTAAAGATTTTGTTTATACCATCTGTTCATTTATTTCTGAGCTCATTAATTTGTTCTTCTGAATTTTGTTGCACCTTTTTGATTAGCTTTGCTGAGTTCTCTTTTGTTACTTTGAATTGCCTTTCTGAGTTTTTCTCCATACTCTCTTGAGATCCCTTATTTCCATGTATTATATTTTTTGCCACCATTTTTGCTACTTGAGGTGTTCCTATTATATTGTTTTTAATATCTTAGCAGAAACTTAAGGGGGTTAACTTTTA